CCCCTTCCTTTCCTTCGGGCCACCGTTGCAGGCGGCCACTAAACTGATCAGTGTCCACTGCCACTGCCACTGCCACTACCTGCCCCCCACCACCGCACAGGGCTGCTCTGGCGTCACGCGTCTCGGCATGTGCTGGGTCTTGCCTCTGGGTTGACGTTGACCCCGTCCTCGATTCCCCGACCTCAACCCTCATGCATCCATTGACCAGGAGCTTCAACCCGCTAGGCCGGGCGCCGTTGTCCCACTCCATTCCCATACGCAGCCGTCGTCGAAGCCATTCATTCTAGCAGCAGCAAGCATTCTCTCCTACACCTCGGCACCCTGTCACCTCCGACCACAAGGGCTCCCCTCCCATGATCGAGAGCCCCTAGACCTTGCGCCACGCCTCTGGCGGGCACATAGCCATGACTGCTCTCAGAGTTCCTCCCACCAGCCGCCGCATCGTGAATGCCTCACGAGCTGCCTCGAGAACATCAACTGCGCCAGCGACTGCCGCATCAGCCTCCCACCATGTCGCCCGTAGATATGCCTCCACGGCCAGGAGGCCGCGGACGGCACTGTTCTTCCCAGGTACGCATCTCTGGCGCTCTCGGGCGCACCACTCCTCTCCAACCTCCCTTTTGCTGACTGCCGCCCCCAGGCCAAGGCGTTCAGAAGGTCGGCATGATGACCCCTTGGGTTGAGGCCTTCCCTGCGACCGCGAAACCCATTGTCGAGGAGATTGACCACTGCCTCGGCTACAAGCTCTCCGACGTCATCCGCGACGGGCCTGGCAAGACCCTGACCAAGACATCCAACGCCCAACCCGCCATCATGGCCACCTCTATCCTCATCCTGCGCATTCTCGAGCGCGAGTTCGGCTTCGATACCCCTGCCCGCATAGACGTCACCCTCGGCCACTCCCTCGGCGAGTTTGCCGCCCTCGTCGCCGGCGGCTACATCACCTTTGACGACAGTCTCTCTCTGGTGCGTGCCCGCGCCCGCGCCATGGAGGATGCGACGCGCGCTGCCATTGAACAGCACGGCGGCGAATACGGCATGGTCGCCGTCATCACCGAGCCCGAGTACCTCGACAGCCTCGTCGCCGCCGTCGACCGCTTCGTGCGCCCCGGCGGATCCCAGGGCAGCAAAGCCGAGTCCAACTACGACCTGCCGCCCTTCCAGCAGGTTTCCATTGCCAATGTCAATTCCAAAAATCAAATCGTCCTCAGCGGTGACGTCGCCCGCATCAAGACCCTTGTCACTCACCTGCGGCAGTTCCTCGGTCACGACGCCCGCGACGTCCGTCTGAACAGCGACAGCCCCTTTCACAGCCCCATCATGAGGCCTGCGGTCGCCACCATGCGCCGCCTGCTGTCCGGCAAGAGTCGGGTGCCCGGGCGTGAGGGCGACGACATTGTCACCTTTCCTGGCCGGCTGCCGTGCGTGAGCAATGTCAGCGCGAGGCCGTTTGAGAGCAAGGCCGAGCTGCAGGATCTCCTGTCGAGGCAGTGCCTCGAGACGGTGCGCTGGTGGGATAGCATCAAGTACCTCGACCAGGAGGAGAAGGTCAGGAGGTGGGTCGGCATTGGGCCCGGCCGCGTCGGGAGAAACCTCGTCGGCAAAGAAGTCGGCATGAAGGGCCACGACACGGTCAAGGGCGGCGGCGTGTGGGCCATCACCGACCCCAGCGATATCGAGGAGGTGCTCCGAGGACTCGAGGAGACAGAGAGGGTGACGGACGAAGAGATGCATGCCTGAAAATCACGGGCTCTGTGGTAGCATTGCCGAGCTGAGATGTCTGCGGTCTGTAGGATTGGTTGTGAAGCCCCCCAAAGAGGGCAATGGGCACATGACGGTTTATCGAGGGAGTCCGCGAATGCGATGGTTAGCCTACAATATACTCAAGGCTATTTTTGGCTCAGCGGCCTGGCGTATTCACATGTCTGATTGGGCAGCTCGACTGCCGGGCAGCCCATGTTGAGGGAACTTTGGGGGTATATTGGTGGGACGTGAGCACGCGTGGTAGCTACGACGGATCATGATAAAATCTTGGATGCAGAGGCATACTGCTGGGAATACACCCAATGCTCCTCTGAGGTTATTGAACTTTGGACTTTCTTTCATCGGTGACTGCTGGCCTGAGAGTCCGTCACGACTTTACTACCTTCATCTTCCACGATAGGGCCGACGCGACACAGGGACCACATCAGTGTGCTCACCTCACATGGCATGAAATTCTCGCTGAGCGTCATATGGCAAATACACACCGCCTCCGAGTAGGCATTCACATGCCGAAGCGCCCTTCTGAATCACGTTCGTTTTGACTCACACTGCAGCGCACAAGAGAACCTGACCAGGCGGTGTCCCAACCGACGATGGGCCACAAAAAAAAAGGAGAACCAAGCAACACAAGAAAGTTGTATGTCATTGCTTCGCCGCAGCGAATACGTAGGTAGGTTTCCTCCACCGTCTTGGGAAAACCAACAGCCAGACGAGACCCGTACGACGACTCGGGCCTAGTATAATACACGAAATAAGTCAGCTCAGAAAACGCCACCGCCCTTGTTTCTCGCGTTTGCTTTTGGTTTTGTCGCCCTCGTCCCAGGAGGGAAGGCCCTCTGGCCCACCCTCCGAATTCCACGACCCCAGTCTCAAGAAGTCACCCGTCCTGTGAAGGGCCCTTAGTGGGTCCCGTTTGTGCTGCCGTTCAGTCGGAGACTGCTGGGAGTCTCGTCGAGCGTCTCTGCGTCCCCATCCGTCTGCTCCGCACCAGCCCTGGTCTGTTCGTCCGCGTAGGCCGCAACCTCTGTCTCGGCCGTCTCGGCCGTAGACCTCGCCCATTTCTCCAGGCGCGCCTTGTCAATGTACTTGCGAAGCAGCGTGTCCTCCTCCTTCGAGTTCTGGACAAGCTTCTCGCGGAATGGCTTGTCCATGTCGTGGAAACGACGATCGGGGCCGTCGACGAAGGCACCGAGCGCCTCAGATGGACGGATATAGTGGAAGGGCGTCTCGAGAGTTTCTGCACATGATTAGAACAACAAACCATACCGATAGCGAGGGCGTGGCACTTACGATGATGATAGCCGGTGATGAGGGCGCCGAACAGCGCCGTCTCGCCAAGTGCTTCCTGGACCTGAGCGTCGTCCTTGAGCTGGGTGTCGTTGAGCTTCATCCAGTCATCCCTGATGTAGCATCGCCTCCAGATGAGACGCTTGGCCATCTTGAGCTCCTCGCTCTTCAAGCCGTGGTCTGCAACCTGCAAGGCGAGGTAGAAAGGATCCTGCATTTCGCTGGCTGTTTCAGGCTTGAGCGCGACCAAGGTGAGCATATCAATGAGCGTCATGGCGTCGAGGGCTTCGTGCTTAAGGAGCCGCCTCATGCCGTTCTCGAAAACCTGGTTCAGAGCCTTTTGCTTTCGCGGAATGTTGGTCGCGTGGCTCTCCATGGCAAGGTCGAGGGCCGCAGAGTCATCCACTGCTAGACTGGCGCTTGGGTAGATCTGTTTGTATAGGTCGTCCTGGATCTGGATGATGGCTAGCTCGTTGTCGATTTCGTCGAGTTGTTCTTCTTGCTTGGCCTCGTCCTTGGCAACGGCGAGTTTGTTGACGCGCCTCGACCCGAATAGCCCTGGCGAGGACTCAGAAGGTTGCTCTGCTTCTGCCATCAGGGCCAGTTTGCCGAGACTGAGCTCAATCTTCTTATTCCACACCTGCTGCTCTCGGCTCAGGCCTAGATCCAGCAGAGTCTCGGCCGCATGGTCAATATCCTTCTCCTCTTGAATATCATTGATCCAAGATATCCTTGCGAGCTCGGGCTTCTGTCTGAGAAACTTGGTCTTGTACCCATGCTTGTCGTAGGCAAAGTCAAGAACTGACTGCACACTGTCGCTTTCGAGTAGGATGTCGTACGTGGGAAAGGCGAAAGCCTCGCCGTACTTGTCAAAGTACACTCCAATCTGTGCCTCCTTCCGCTCAGCTTTAGATCGAAGAGCGGGGATGTCCGCGGCCGAGGCCGCCAGGTCGATTTCCTTCCGTAGTCCATGGATCTGCTCAATCAACGATACAGCAAGAGCCTTCCACGATCGATGTTTCTCAGCGATGCTTGTGCTTTCATCCCACTTGCCGAGACGAAGCAGCGCCAGGATCTTATCGTTTTGATCGACATCGTAAATTTTGTTGAATTGCTCCGATAGTTGAAGCATCTTGGAATCGTGCTGGGTAGCGCTCCAGCGACACTGCTCAAGCAGAGCGACGAGGTAACAATCTGTCAGGGGTGCCATTTCAGTGTTGATACGTTCCATGAGCTTTGGATCTGGTTGCTTCGGCTTGTCCTTCGCAGGGTAGTACTGATCAAGCCAGGTGTGGCTCAGTTCGACGAGACGTCGCAGGTTGTTCGCGATATGGCGTGACCCGGTCCAGAACTCGGGGAGGCTGTCATCCATAGTGCGTAGGATGCCATGTTCCATATCCTCCTCCTGGAGCCCGTAAAAGGCAAGCTTGTCTTTCCTGTACTGTAACGCCATACGCAGAGATACGAGGTTGAGTTGGATGGCCTCATGGATCAGGCGGGTGATTCGTACATCGTCGAGAATGTGGTCCTTGTACATGTACTTGATAACCTCGTAACCCCAGGCCACAAAGGTCTCCATCTTCTCGATGTCGTGAACGAACCAGTGTCGGACACGGTCAACCTCCCCAGCACTTCGGTTAGGTACTTTTTTCTGAGAGTTATGGATGAATTCGACAATCTCCGCCATGATGTCCTTTTTGTCGTTGGGTGCGCGTTCCTGAGTAAACGTTTCGTGCAGTTTCCATAGAAGTGATGATACGAACATCTTCTCCGCAGCTGCCAAGAGTTTCCACCTTGTTGATCGATCCAGGTTGACTTTGAGAACTTTCAAGTGAAACATCAGCCTCTCGAGGGCAAGAGTCCGGCTCTTGAGATGCTCTTCGAGCGACGCGGGCGCGGTCGAAATGTGAGGCGAAGAAGAGCCAAGGATTTCTTGGCTGAGTTCTACAGCAGCTTCGGCCATCTCAGTGTCAGGAAATTGGACTCCGCGGCGACCGTCAAAGTTGAGGGGGGTGTCCTGCTTGTTGCCGAAAAAGACGGCCTGCTCGAGCTTGCTCTTGGCGTTGACCTTGGGTGGTTGGTCGCTGGCGAATCTGTCGATTTCCGTTGTGGTCAAGCGAATAATGCCTGTGCCGCGTACCATCAACACAGTCGCTGGGTTCTTGGTCTTGTGGCGGTGGGTCTTTGTGTCCTCATGAAGTTTGCCGGCTGCGAGTGGTTCTTCGTACCCAGAACCAACAATCTCGGCCAGATTGTTGTCACTTAAACTGATGACGTCTTCGTAGGTTGGAGGGATGATATGGTTGTCTTCTTGCAACTGCGAATCTGGTGATTCAGGCGGGCACCCAATGGATGCCACCACGACGGCCTTGTCAAACACTAAAAATGCAACAAGAGCCGGCCTTGGAAGATAAAGACGAGGTCTGGTAGCCTGAGCTGGGTTGACAGGGGCGAAGAGAGTCTTAAAAGAGGAGATTGGCCGGACCATACCGATGCTTGCGCTCTTCGGCGACAGGATGACCTCGACTAGGGAATAGTGAGATTCCTTCTTCTTGGTCAAACTCACGAGAAGAAGCAGGTGCTGCAGGTCGCGGTCTTTCGACGCCAACGCGTTGCTGAGCCTGCTCAGGTCTTGGTACTTTTCCTCCATATCCCTTGGAACGTAAGCAAAATCGAGCACCTCGAACGTGTCTTGGTGGTAATCCTCGCTAAGAGGGTCAACCTCTCGAATGGCGTTGATGACATCCTCACGGACATCGGCCTCCGCCACGGTGTCATGATTTCCTCCCCTGTGAATCTTCCAAGCGTGGAGTTTTCCTTTCAACGTGGCTGCGACAATATTTCGCTCACCTGGCTGCATGTGCCGTTCCGCGCGGACGGCTGCGATGTCGCCACGGCCTTGCGGCTGCGTGAAGGCATGGCGAATGCTGCCGAAGATGCCTCCTGTGCTAGAAGCAAGGCTTGTCCGCAAGAATTGGACGGAAACCAAGGGCCTGCCATGTGTGTCGCGGACGCTCATGTAGGCCAGCCTGCCACTGGTAAAAGCCAGAACAAAGCCTGCGGACTCAGCATTGGTGATTTGGATGACTCTTTCTCCCGATGACATGCCCGGGATGGACCCCTCAACACCATGTCGCTGCTGTCGAATGAAATCTAGGGTCGCAGCGCTCGATATCGATTCCCAGTAGGTAATCCTTCCGCTAACAGGCATGACCACAACCAATCCAGGCTCGGTAGACGATGCAGAAGGCGACACGAGCGATCCAAGCGGCAGCGGCTCGGTTGCATGTTTGGATGGATAAGGGAGCGTGAATGTGAAGGTTTCGGGGGATTGTGTTGGGGTAGTATAGGGCCATACGATGGCGTGCGTGTGATTCAAACTCATGGCGTAGCCACTGGAGAAGATGTCGCCATGTTGTTGACCTGCTTCGACGTCAGCCACGTGATGATTTCGGAAAGCTGCCCTTGCGCTGCCCTTACCTGTCGCGTCAACTCGAATGCGGTCAGGCAAAGCGGGCAGCTTGCTCACGGTGTACGCATTGTTTGTTGTCTGAAGCGAAAAGAGTCAGTACAGTCACAAGTCACCCTGGAGTCATTCGTGAGAGGCACACCAGAATAACACTTCCGTCTCCTTTGGTCGCGCGATCTGCAGCTTTGGGCTTCTTGGCGCGAACGCTGAGCTCCTTCTTAGGGAGCGGGTTGGTCTCGAATCCGAAGCCGTCCTGCCTGGCGTCGAGATGCGCAGGCTTGTCGGCCTTGACTTCATACGTCTCCGGAGCAGCTGGGGCTGCGTTCACATCGGGGTTTTGGAAGGTCTGCTCCGTTAGTGGTAGGCGCTGGCGTTTGGCCTTGGGAGCCTGGACCAGATTGTCGGAGCTCAGAGGTCGCTGTCTGCGACGGCTCCTCGTCGCAGTGGCAGGACCGCCTTCGTGCTGTGATGGAGAGAACATTGCGATGATGGAATATGCGCGATGTTGGGTGGAAATTGTGAATCGAAATTGCGAAGCGGGTGGTTGTAGGCTTGGTTGGGTAGGTAGGTGGGTATTCACACCCAAGCGCGAAGTGTATGGCGATGCTGTTTGTTACTGACGAAGCTGTATCCTGAGGCGCAAGTTAGGAAAGCATGTCGGGGTCGATGACAACAGGCAGTGCCAGGCAATGCTGGGCTGCGATGGAGGAGGCTTAGGATGGAACAGCTAGCAAAGGTGATGGAAAGATGCAGAGCGGTGTTGGCAGACAATGTCCAGCGTGACGAACCTGGGAAGGGCATAGATCGATTGGGTCTCGTTCAAAAAACACTGACGGTTACTGGAGTCGCCAAGCTTGGACCAGCTCCTCCCACGCTAACACTTCACCCTGCATCAACAAGACGAGCAGGAACAAGTGGGGCCTGCCTGACGCCGACTTTCTGGGAGTCTTGGGAGTCTGCCACGACAATCACCTTGACCCATATTTTGTTGCTCTGGTTCTTACCTAAGGTACTTATCTTAGGTACCTAGGTAGTCCCCAGTGTGTCCGCTGCTTACCTAAGGTGCCTTGGGTGAAGCACTTGGGCACGGTTCATAGACCCCGACACATGCGTTACTGAATTGGTTTCTGCCCAGCTGGACAAACGTTCTGGGGTGTGCCGACATCGGCCCCGTGTTTTGCATACCCGAATGTGACTGCTCCAATGGCAAGTCGGCCTTTGGTCATTGCTGCGTTTTAGTCATTTGTATTCTATCGATCTCTTCGTCAACACAGATTGTCTGAGGCGTGCGCTTTGCGCTGAAAGGAGCGTAACATGTCTTACAGAGCAAGAGCGGTAGGTTTTATGGCTTCGAACTTGAACTTCGAACGATTTTACATCTCGCAGACACTGATCCCTCTGACACAGGTCGCCATGACCGCCCCTTGGGCTCGATCACTCGTCCACACGAGCATTCGTCGAAGCCTTAGCCGTTCCCAATTCAGCCAGCCAACGTTTCGCTATGCCTCAACAACGGTGCCCACCTCTCATACGAACCTTCAAGGGTCAAGCCTGCCGAATATTGCTCCTGAGAAGACAGCAGCGCCGCAAACGCTGACGGAGAAGATCCTTCAACGCTACTCTGTCAACCTTCCGGACGGAAAGGTCGTTCGAAGCGGCGACTACGTCCAAATTCAACCTCACAGATGCCTCACGCATGACAACACCTGGCCTGTGGCCATGAGGTTCATGTCCACGGGTGCCACCAAGATCAAGGACCCATCTCAGCTTGTTTTTGCACTTGATCACGACGTACAGAACAAGAGCCCTAGCAACGTAAAGAAGTACGAGCAGATCCAGGAATTTGCGAAGAAGCATGGAGTCAACTTTTTCCCCGCAGGTCATGGTATTGGCCACCAGATTATGGTGAGCCCCGCTGCATACGATGAATGCCAACGACTCTTTGGTTTGCTGACAAGTTGCGTAGGTTGAAGAGCTTTTCGTGTGGCCCGGAACCCTATGCGTTGGATCCGACAGCCACAGCAACATGTACGGAGCTCTAGGAAGCTTGGGAGTGGCCTTGGTCAGGACCGACGCGGCTGGAATCTTTGCTACCGGCAAGAGTTGGTTCCAGTGTCCCCCGGTCGTCCAAGTGAACCTGCTGGGCACACTACCCCCTGGTGTCCGCGGAAAAGATGTCATCATTGCGCTCTGTGGACTCTTCCCATTGGATGTGCTGAACCACAGCGTTGAGTTTACGGGATCCGAGGAGACCATGGCCAGTATCCCAATGGACGACAGGCTGACAATCAGCAACATGTCAACTGAGTGGTCCGCAACGTCCGCAATGGTATGGCACCTGCTCAAGCTACAGTGCTTCTCTATGAGCCCGTCTAACTGGTCATTTTATAGTTTCCCATCGATACGACACTACAGCGTTGGCTCCGATACAAGGCCACGGAGGCAGCAATGCTAGAGGAACGCACTACTCGACAGCGGATCACGCACGAAATGGTTGACGAACTCTTCGCCGACCCTCTCCGAGCCGATCCCGGAGCGCAGTATGCGAAGAAGCTCTACCTGGATCTCTCTACTCTTTCGCCTTATATCTCTGGTCCTAACTCGGTCAAAATCTCAACACCCCTCCATGACCTCGCCAAAGAGAACATCAAGGTTGACAAGGGATACATTGTGAGCTGCACCAACTCGCGAAGCTCGGATCTCAAGGCTGCGGCCCAGGTGTTCCAAACTGCTGCCAAGTCAAATGATGGGAAGATCCCCAAGATTGCAGATGGCGTCAAGCTGTACATTGCAGCAGCTTCAGCCAGAGAGCAGGCTATTGCTGAAGATGAAGGCAGCTGGCAGACCTTGGTCGAGGCCGGAGCCACGGTACTTCCGCCTTCATGTGGCCCGTGTATCGGACTGGTAAGTCGTCACTACTTCGTTGTATGGATTCTTGTGGGGACCCTATGCTAAGTATCAAAATGTAGGGCACGGGCTTGCTCGAGGATGGCGAGACAGGTGTTTCTGCATCAAATCGCAACTTCAAGGGCCGACTCGGTTCGCGGCGTGAGTTCTCCTCTTTTTCAATCAACTTCATTTGTGGCACCAAGTTCACTAACAATACCAAGTCGCGCACGCGTATCTCAGTAGCCCCGAGGTTGTTGCTGCGAGCACCCTGAGCGGCGTTCTTTCCGGCCCAGGCGTTTACAAGGTGCCAGAGGATTACACGGGAGTGCAGCACGGTTACGGCACCGGAGAACCTGCGACCATCGAGAATGAGCTCGGCAATGTCCTTGAACAGCTCGAGTCTTTCATCGAGAGGGTCGAGACGACTGCTCCTGTCGGCGATGGTGCTGCGCAAGCAGCCACGAAGATCCTACCAGGCTTTCCCACCAAGATTACGGGTGAAATCATCTTTGCTGATGCTGACAACCTGGACACCGACAACATTTATGCCGGAAAATACACATATCAGGACGACATGACGACGGAAGACATGGCACGAGTCTGCATGGAGAACTATGACCCGGAGTTCAGGACAATCATCAAGCCGAACGACATCCTCGTGTCCGGTTTCAACTTTGGGTGTGGCTCATCGAGAGAGCAAGCCGCGACAGCCCTTCTGGCGAAGCATATCCCGCTTGTTCTGGCGGGCAGCTTCTCCAACATTTTTGTCCGGAACGGCATCAACAATTCGCTGCCTTTGTCTAGAATTGCCACGTTTGGGGAACGTCTTCGCACTA